GCAATAACTTCCAAACCGCTTGACGAATCGACGCCAAACTTTCAGTACCTTCGGCTGCATCAATTTGACACCTTGTGTCAAAATTTGAACTTCGTAGCTGCCATAGGTCGGCCGGAAATGACGTCAGAGTGACGTCATGTTCGTCCGATTTCGACGCAAAACATTGAACCACGGCAATCGCTCCCAAGAGCTCAGTTTTTAAGCTAGATCCAATTTCTTTGCATGAAAGGACTCAGAATTGACCGCGCTATCAAACTGCTATCTCGGATTTTCAAAATTTTGAAAATTTCGAAAATTTTATATAATAATATTCAAAATTTATATTTTTATATTTTTTTCAAAAAGTTTTTGACTTTTCGAAAAAACCGGAATATATGTGACAGAACGCATGATTATGACTAACTCTAGCAAGTTTTAGCTAAATATCTTCAAAAATGGTCAAGTTATACGCATTATTGCAAAAAATTCACAATTATTAATTTTTCAAATCATTTTTTTCAGTACGTATTTGGCATCGTACACCAATATAAATGGCACCATCGTGTTCCTGAGCTCAAACTGCATCCAATAGACACCTTTTTTGTTGAAAAATTTCAACTTCAAAATTTGACCTTTTTTGACCTGAAAGTGACCTGACCTAAGCTAATTTCGACTCAAAATGACCTTGAATGACACAGACGACATCAAATTCGAAATCTTTGGCCTAAATGGACCATAAAACATGTGTCACGTGACCGACGCATGATATAATATTTTCGTGACCTGTGATGACCTGACCCTGACCTGAAAATCAAAGTACAAGTTTGGTACCCTCAAGGTATCTAGAGCATCTGTTCACGAGTGTGGAAACCAAAAATGAGCCTGATCTGACTTGTAAGACGGCGGCCAGAGCCCAAAATGTGAACAAACCAAAGTGCTAATAATTTTTACTTTGACCTGACCTGTGACGTCATCGGTGACCTCGAGGTCAATGAAATTAGGTTTCGCTCGACAGTTTTTCCGGGGCTATCAGACGCCGTTTGAATTTTGACGATCGGCCCAGTAGTTTCGGAGTTAGGAGGGGGGCTATGAATAGCCCCCCCCCCCAGTAGGGCGTGTTATACACAGACCCCAGTGGGGCGCGGGTTAATAAAGTCACTTTGGAGTTTCGAAGTCTGCAGTGACGTCTCCCGACTCGAAATGTGGCATCCAATCCGCTCCTTAACACTTAACTAAGGTCTGGTCACGAAGTCAAATAGCCCTCTAAAAAAATGTGGTCCTTTAACCGTATAACTTATTTCCTAGAACTTTGAAATTTTGTGTAGTGCAAGTGCAGGACTGCGGGATCGGAGCCGGAGCTTGACAGCTCGTCAGCTTGACTTGACAGCTCTGGCCAGAGTCGGAGCTGGAGTCACCGAAGTCGTTTGTACTTCGACTCCGAAGTCAGAGTCGACATTCTCTGGCTTGAAGTCATGCTCATTGCTCTTAACTGGTTAGTCGAAATTTATGAAGCCGTTTTAGCCGATCGTGGGCAGGTGGGATAAGAGCTGTAGGTTCTGTTGACCGTTGTGACTGGTGGACGGTGGTTGTATCAGTAAAGAGGTCAGACCAATATAGGCCCACACTGAGTATTCAATTCTCCTGGACCCTCCCATACCACACACCGTTCCGTCATTTCTATCCTCAGGACAGTCAAATCCCTCTCCTTCACGCCTCAACTCCTTGTTCCGGGCTGGACGGGCAACTTTATCCCATGCGGGAACCCCCGATAAGAGCACGCCCGTAACCGGGTGCGGTGACTGGTGTGTGCTTGGGGTGCTGGTCGGCCTGCCCTCTGGACGGGCTCAGCCTCGTCGACTCACCAGGGTGCTTGCCCAGACCAAATGTCCCCCCTCGCCCTCCCCCTAATTCCCATCTCCTTCCGGCTCTGACTTGGTCTCGTCAGACCGAAAAGTCCTAACCCAATAAAAAATCCCAGACCGTGGCGAGGTCCTCTGACCTCTCACACCAGCATCAGGTACTCTAAGGTCATGGTGAACTGGTGAACCCCTTCGGCTGTCGTTTTGCCTAGCACGGGAGGACGGCCGTTTAGAAGTGGGGGTCTTGTGAATATTCGAATGTGTGGCTTATGCAGCTGTCACCCCACCCAGAGGACCGAACTTCAGCCTTTGGTGGGTGTACAGTCCACAGCAGAAGTAATGTGGGGTTTCAGCCATGGATATGTTCTGCTTATGAAGCTTAGGAACGATTAGCCAGACTACAATGAAACTTTTAATGTAGCTTAGGTATATGTATCGTCACCCTTGCAGCTGCAACTTTAGCTATTGACATCTTCTTTTCGATCACTCCGCATTAAACAATCGCCAGTCAAAGCCAACCGTTGAGATTGGTAAAACACTAAAACCCTACATTACTTTAGCGGTGGGCTGTACCTGAGCCGCTAAAGTGTCTGAGTTCTCAGTTGTACCGTCGAACTGACCAGCATCAGTAGGTATTCTTTTAAAAATGGTTACGGAGCGAGCGAAGCGAGCGGAGTCTTACGTAGAATAACGGAAATTTCTAAGTATGAGCGGCCGGCCGGCCGGCCGGCCGTGCGGACGCTTTTGCGAGGCTTATATCTCAGCAACCACTTGACCGATTTACATGCGGTAATTTTTGTAGGGTAGCTTCATTCCTTCTACCAAGTATTGGACTATTCCCGATGCATGTGGGTGACCCCTTATGCACGTGCCACGTGCAAAACGAAGAGGTGTCACTTTTGTAATTGTTGCAATATCTCGGTAACTACTTGGCCGATTGCGCTGAAAGTTGGCATGTAGGTAGGCACCCTTTAGGCACTGCATATCCGTGTGCCAGAGTTGGGGTGCTGCTGCACGTGCGCACGTGCAGGGGTCGTTTCCAGATCTCGAGAACGGCTGGACCGATGGCGCTCATATTTGGTACACGGTTAGGGACCAGTTAGTAGGGTGCCGTGCACAAGTCAGTTGGGACCCATTTTGCACGTGCGCACGTGCAGGGTGCCGCTTCCAGATCTCGAGAACGGCTGGGCCGATTGTGCTCAAATTTGGCACATCGCTAGAGACCAGTTAGTAGGGTGCCGTGCACAAGTCAGTTGGAGGTACCCCCTCGAAATTTCGCGCGTGCAAGGCTCACCCTCTCGCTCACTCCGTTACTCGCCCCAAAAGGCGTTATACTGGTTTATTTCTGTTTACATGACTCCATATTGAATGACCGTTGCAAATAGTCACTTTTGAAATTCTTTATGGCCGATTTTTTTAGGGGACGTCCCCCCCCGGATTCCTCGACTGCCGGCGGGGGGGGGGGCGTCCCCCGTCCCCCCGCTTTCGACGCCCATGCTATCTATAAACACTCTCAAACATCGGTTTATTGGAAAACATGACACACCCGAATATTGCACCCGTTACCCCTTTGTGTGACCCTGAGGTTATCTCAGGTCATGAAGGGTCACCAGCAGTTTTTTAAAACTATTTCTTTTGAATTGATATAAGAGACGACAGACGTGCTAGAGCGGTAAAAACATGTCAGGTGTGTTCAACTCGGCGATACGGATCGACTGATATGCAGCATGACCCTTTCCGGTCAGGCCATGCCCTGACCCGAGGTCAAATTTTCCAAATGACCTTAGAAGTCCGAATTTCATTCGACGCGACTCGACGAGGGGAACACGTTGCTGGCAAAAGTAATGTCGTGGCTCCCTTCAGTCAAAATCTGTTACCTAAAACTTTTTTTTCGTATAAACCAGGGATGCGGAGTCGTGGAAATTTCAGACGGTCCAGCTCCGGCTCCGAGTAAAATGGTCCGGCTCCGGCGGCTCCGGCTCCTTCTCAGTACATCCCCTATGCGATGCATCCCCTAACTAAATACCTACGGGTGGAAGAGAAAGGGCGATTGAAATTGGATTGGTACACGTTGCCTCTGTATTTGCATAAAGGCTAATTTGAATAGTGAATACCACATGGCCTTGTACTGTCAAACCGAACTAGGTCAATAATTTTTCCTCTTAAAAAAAGAGCCGGAGTCGCCCCCTTTTTTGACGGCCCCGGCTCCGGTTCCGGCTCCGGGCTATATTGTTTTACGGCTCCGGCTCCGGCTCTGGGCAAAATATGCCGGCTCCGGCTGCTCCGGCTCCGGCTCCGCACCCCTGGTATAAACGGCTATTTTTATATTTTTTGCCCTCTGGAACATGGAATATATATCACATAGGACAGGAAAAGGTTAACTGTGAAGGAACGGGAGGAGCTGACGATGATAAGCGCGATCTGACGGTGAGATGAAGATCCTTGCGGAGGCTTGGTTACGGGGATGGTGGACCTGGACACTACACGACTTATTAGGCACTTCTGGTGTGAAAACTGAAAGGGCAATTAATAAACCCACTTTCGGTATCGGTCTCCATTATCGACACTTCAGCCTACCTACATACGTGCCGCGCTTGGATACGCTGCAATGCGTCTTCATGTCATATGTCAGGTTTGTAGTGGTATCGCAGCGATGTCGCTACCAGCAGCTACGCACCTCCGTCTTGAGGATGTAAGGTCATTATAGGGATGCCACTGTATAGAGACTCAGTGATGTCATACAATTCTGTCACTTAGGAACCGTACGTGCCACCACCTATCGGACAGCCATTGAACTAATAGTTTACAGCTTGTACAACAGATAACACTATTTTGGATGATACGGTCTTGGATGCTGCGGTGCCAAAAATGTTTTTTGGATGATACGGTTTTGGATGCTGCACCCTTGGATGTTTCACTCTTGGATGCTACAATTCCTCGTCCTTGGTTGCTGCCAATTTGGATGATACGATTTTGGATGCTGTGGTCCTGGATGTTGCAGTTTTGGATGTTTCGCTCTTGGATGCTCTGAATCATCCCTAAGGGGTCGGTTTTGGATGTTATTTGGACGTTTTGATCGCTGGATGCTAAGGTTTTGGATGTTGCGTCCCTTGGATGCTGCGCTCTTGGATGCTTCAATACTCACCCGCTGGCGCTGGACAAGGATTCTGAAAAGATACTATATCATTTAGACTGCTATTCCGACTTTGAACCTATGACGTACTAAGAGTGAAGCTTTCATTGATTGGATAAAAAGTAAAAAGCTCGTTAGCAAGCACATTTGCGAAATCCGTGAAATGTGGATTGAAAGTATTTTGATAAAAATATCATTGAGTCTTATATGTGCATGTAATCAGGGCATGGAAATTTTCTATTTACGGCAACAAATGAGAGAATAAAACATTTTTATTTAGGAATTATTGATGACGTCACATATACGTTTTGAACACGTTTATGTATGACAGATGTAGACAAACATTAGGCGATTGTCAGGGGTGTACGGATTGGAAGGTAGGGTGAATTGCGCCTATTTTCTGGCCTATTTCAATTATTGACCTTACTCTTCGGCCATTTGTGTGGATTTTCTTCTCAAGATAACGTTAAAAGTGCTTCACCAAGACTTAAATCACATTATTTGCTTTGAGGGATGCGTCACGTATGCCGCTGATAAGTTTTATGTCCTTTCATTCATGTATACCAACCTCGTAACGTAAATTATAGGGTTTTCCCCACGGACATGTAATATAATATAAAGGTGCTTTGGCCTATATCACTAATAATTCCACTTATTTGAAAAATAACATTTGCGTGGGTTTCTCTATTCTGCTTTAAAAAGTGGCCACTGGCTCGCTTCACGAGTCGGAAAGCCTCCTCCTTGCGAGGCTCGCGAGGCTGAGAATATATAAGGCCACTAAAAAAAATACGGAGATGTTTTACAATAATGGAAATTGGAATGTCCAACGATGCTGGATTTTCAAATTGATTATCATGGTTGCAGCAAAGACAACTTTGAATGCCAGCTAGTCCCAGACTGGCCACAAGTGATGTGTGTACCCAGCCAGCCATCCCAAATGGGTCCTACATGGGCTAGCTGTGGGGACTGGGGAATCTCGGCGAATGTGGGCTGGGCTACATCTGGGCATGTCTTGGGTGTCCAACTGGGTCCCAGACAGTGGCGGATCCAGGGGGGGGGGCAAAATGGGCATTTGCCCCTCCCAAACGGCATAATTTTAACATTACGCCTATGGACGAGGCATGGAAAGAATCGATAAATTGATATGGTTCCCCTAAAAAAACTCTGAGCTGGATCCGCCTCTGGTCCCAGATGGGCTAAGTGAGCCCATTTAGTCTATCTGGGACCCAGTTTGATGCCCATGACACTTGTTCATTAAGTTAACGAGCTAGACTTCAGTGCATTTCGAGCATGAAACGGCGGGGGCAAACACCCTTGTCCTCGCCAAATGGAGCCAGCCGCCAGGGCTTCCATTCTTTCAACTCAGAGTGAGACAATCTGAAGTTACAGAGAATGTGTCTGCACACTACAGCATGCATGCCTATCATTACTTTGTTGGTGTCAGAATGCCTATTGTTCCATACAAATTTGTCACAAATTCCCCATTTTATCAAAATGTCGGCTGTGCTGTGATATCTTGACTTTGGATATGATTTGTCTCCCGATTTGCTGTTCGACTGAGTTTAGATGCGTGTTTTGTCTGTCTATCGTTCTTCCTGTCCCTTCCGGCCGGCCGGCGCTCAGCCACCCGAGCCTTGTGGGACCATTTGTGGGCCATATGTCTCTGTCCTGGGCCGACGGCCGCGTTCAAAGCCGATCAGTGGTTCGACGAGTGTCGCCAGGGAGAGGACCCTGCTATCTTCTTCCTGGCACGAGCAAATATAGCATCAGCTGACAACCCACCGCGAATCGCGAAACCGATACCAAACCGAATTGTTACACCTATTGTTACAAACTCTTCTCCTTTTTCACAAAAGATACACTTAAAATGTCCATGTTTCCATTCTCTACCGGTCGCCGGCTTCCTACCTGCAGACTGCAGTGGTAGTGATAAGTGTAGTGGTTAGGGTCCCCGCATTATGTTCCATAGGTCTTGAGTTTGAATCTCTGGGGGAAGGGTCTAGTGAGAGACAAAGAGTACGCAGTTCTCTTACGTGTGACCACATTGCTTTTTGGGACTCACGCGAAAATAGTAGACGACATAAGGTGGGTCCCTCCCTACCCCCTAATCCCAATTAAAAGCCATGTGGGCTTATTTGCATGCGTCCTGTGAGCTCCAACTGGAAAAGTCCGTGTCCGTGTGTGACCCAGATATATCCCAGATGGGTCCTATATGGGCCCCACTTGGGCTGCCCATGAAAGCCCATATGTGGCTCAATAAGGGCTTCAGCTGGTCCCAACATGGGCCTGTCTGGGGTGCCCAAATCCAGATGGGACCCAGTTGGACGCCCATCCCATGACATGGGCTGCCCACCACCTGGGTCCGTGGTGGGCAGCGCAGATGGGCCCCAGTTTTGTGCCCAAGTGGGCCCCACTTGAAAAGGCTGACTGGGGTGCTTTAATTTAGCTGCAGTATTTCCTCAAGGAAAATGTTTTGGCTGCAGGGTAATGAGACTTCAGCCTGTCATTCGATTCAACAAAAAACAAAAACAAACAGCTTATTTCCCCACAATGAAGCTAGCAGGGGAACACTGGTCAACATGTATAAAGTTCAAGGAGTTGACCCCCCCCCCCCAATCCCCAAACAATCAAATCTGGGACCTTCTGCTTTTGAGTGTGTGCTGCAACATCTCGATCTCCCTCTACACACATCCCAGAGTGTGGTGAGCTAGCACATTATGCACTGCCAGGCGTCGGTCTGCGTTGATGAGGTGCATTGTTTCTTTGAGATGCGATTGGCCAGAAAAACTGTTGTGCCTTTTGTGGGGACTGGGGAGCCAGGCTAGAGTTCATGCGCGATGTCGACTGGTCGTTTATGTGTATTTTTCCCTCGTAGCTGCCTTGCTTTGTCATTCTGTGCACTGAAAAGTGGTTGCTTATTATCGTCCATTTCCTTTTACACGTAAGAAGCTGCGATGCATACGACTCAGGTGGCAGGTATTGGTGCCACTGCCATCAGAAGTGTTTGAGAGGCGTGTTGGGAGAGACTATCATCCCGTTTATCAGCGGGAAATCCCGCAGTGGGTCGAGACATAGACGGGTTGTGTTGTCCAGTTATCTATCTCACGATCTGAGTGCACATCACCATGTGCGGTAATGACTGGCGTCGCACAATTTGTCTCTCTATTCGGCTCAGTGTGTTGTGTGTTCTTAATTGTTAGCTGTTTGCTCTTATTGCTACAGTAATACTCCAACACACATTTTTCTTCCATTGCGCGCTGCACACTTCAGTAATGATTTTATTAACTCAGGTTATATGATATTCCCTTACTCCCACGGTTAGGTATTACAAATTTATTCGCGGTCATTTCTGTCGTTTAATTTCGCCTCTGAAACGTTTCAGCTTCTGGCGAGGTACTTCGTACGGCGAGCTCTCTTGTGCCTCCCTTGGCCTCTTTTTTGGAACATGACTGAATGGAGGTGATTGGGGCCAATGTCCCGGGCCGCTGAGCTGATGGCTAGGGGCCAAGTCTGGCAGGATTACGCGCTGGCCAAATATTCGCGCGGTAGTACGCGTCCTGCTGCCAGCAGCCCGCCCGTGCCCGTAGGCCAATTCATCAGTGTCTGTGGCACCGACTGGCCGCCTTGTTATTTTGCGTGAGATCAAAGGATTATGTTTGACGCAGAGCGAATCGATCTGGTTGTTGAACAACGATGCGCTGGAGTGTCGAATCCTGTGGTGTTCCGTCAAATAGTTGAGACGCTGATTGTGAATGAATCAGAAGGGCCTGGAGGGGACAATATGCTCTGTCTTGTTGCGATGACGAGAAGTGTTTCGCCAAACAGCTATCGCCACGTCGACTTTTCGTGTTTGAGCCGTATGTCGCTGAATCACCCCCTCCCGCCGCAGTGCAGCGGTCGTGGTCGTATGACGTCACACTTACGTCACCGGTAGGGGTGACGTCAGGTCCGGGCCGGCCTTGGCGCTCGCCGGCGCGGCGGCGGGCTGCAGTTGTTTGTCGGAGCTGCGACGTGCGGATGATCGGGGACGGACGGACTGTGCTCGGTGGACGGACGGCGAGCGGAGCTTCTGCGACCGGAGAACTGAGGTAGGCGGCACGGGGTTCCGCGGCAGACGGTGTGTCTATCTCCGCTGTGTTAGTAGGGCGGGACGAACTGCGGCGGTGGAGTATCAGCGGGCGGGGGACGCCGGGCGGCACTATTTCGGGAGCGCCCGCCGCCGCCGCTGTGCTGTGGGCGGTGCAGACGGCCGTGCCATGGCCGCCGCGGGGCTGGCACGGCTCCGCATCAGCCGAGGACACAGGTGGCCGGCCCGCCGCCGGCTGTGGGGCCGGCACAGGCGCCAGGACTGTCGTACCAACAGGCCGAAACTGTTTGGGCAGAACTGGCTGAAGTCAGGCTGCTGAAATCTGTCGATCATAGCATAATCTGTCGGCATAATCTGTCGATGTCTCTGTATGCCACGGTATGCAGAGGTGTTTGTGTCAACAGATGTGGGATGACTTTGGACCCGTGAAGTGAACGTCCATCACATTCTATGCCAGGTATCGTGTAACTGACGCGAATGCGCATTTACCAGCACATATATTTGCATGGGACGCTGCTTGGAAAGCCTGGGCCCCACGAGGTCACGGGTGCAGTCGTTTGTTTATACCGGTTTGCACTACTACTGCGCCGTGCGTGGGCGTGGAATGTGTCCGGGCGGGACGGGCGGCGGTGCAGAACTGCATAGCCCTGCCCGTTAGTGGTGAGCCGCCGTAGTCGTGCCGTGCTGCCCTCCACCAGCGCGCTCTGAGTTCTGACCACCCACCGGCAGTGTGCCGACTCTCTCTCCGTGACCCGCTGCGTTTCTCCGGCCGCCGCCGTCCGCCCCAGCTGTGCCCCCGGCCCAGCTGTGGAGAGCCCTGAGAGCGCTTCTGGTCGGCGGCACCGCCCGGCCAGGCCCGGCTCCATTCAGAAGGCCGGCAGGGTGGACCGGAATGTAAATGCGCGCTTCTGTGTGGGAGTGCCGCAGCCACCTGGCGCCCAGCGCGGCTCAGAGGCCAAATGACGGGTGTGGCGGCCGCGCCGCTCCGTCCTCAGCTGCTCAAGACCTGGGGCTTGTAACGGAGACATTCGTCTAGCCAGCGCTCTGTGTGATTGATATAATCTTGTTAAAGCCCTTGGGTACCAGAGACGCAGCATTTTTGTCGTTCCACGCTCGGTCGGCATTTCAGGCATCTCCGGTATGGTTCAGGCGGCGATGGCCATGCCATTTGGTGACCGCTTTAGGCGGCGGCTGCCTGTGATCTTATCTGTCGGTCCGATCCGCTCCGAGCCCATCTGGCCGGAGGGGTGTTCACGGGCACCGCACACTGCTGCGTGCGGTGTGTGCGGTGCGTCCAGCAAGCGTGGGGGTAGGGGATGGGTATGCGGTTCTGACGTCACGGCTGCGTGCGGTGGACGGTCCGCTGTGGCCAGTCCCGACCGGCCACAGCGATCGCTGTGTGCGGTGACGGAAGGCTGACGTAGGGCCGCAGTGGGCGGAGCTTCGAGGCTGTGTGCGGTCCGACCGCACACAGGGCCCGTGGGGTCGGGTATCCGGCGGTCTCTAATGACGTCACACCTAATCACTGACGACGTCACGCTCAGCCTTTTTCACCGACTCGGTCCACCAACAACGTGGCGATGCAGTTGGTGATACTGGGTGATACGGACTTATCTTGACATTAGCTGACCGGGTGGGAGGCGGAGTTGAACTATTTGAGTCATTTGCCCTCTGCGGGGAGGCGCGGGAACTCCCCGAGTCTGTAACCCTACCGCAGTTGGTCCCGGGTCGGTCATCTTGGCCCCATCTCCCGCGGCGCTGTATCCTAGCCAACAGATCCGGCTCCGCTGAATGCAGCACATTGGAGACCGTTCAATAGACGGCGCCTGATTGCGGACGCGCCGGGCGAACAGGATCATCTCCGGTCCGAGCTCGCATTGACTCCGGCTTTTCATACACGGCCGTATAGCACGGCCGTGAGAATCGCTCCGATTCAGTCGGCCGTAGACTGCATCTTCCTGCGGGGCGTGGGCGGGTGCCCTGCGCCGTGGCGCCGCGCCGCGCACTACACACCAATCGGCCGGCCATCACGGTGATTGCCGGCGCCGGTGCTCCGTCAACGGGTCAGCCCAACCGTGATCGATGGTCGTCCTCCGCGGCGCGGCGGCTGACCCGGCCGGCCGACCGATGATAGAAGACGCGGCACCGTGCAGGCGGCATTGCTGGACCAAAGCGCCGTGCAGGCTGGGGGCGATGGACCGAACCGCCGGACTGGGGTCGGGCGATCCCAAGGGACACGGGACTGGCCAGCACAGGAGGCCTTAGACTGCTGGTAGCTCTGTTTCTGTTAGTTTTCGGGTGTCTGAAAGATTAACTTTTTTCTTTTTTTCAGCAGTCTTTAATGAAATGTTTCACTACAGTGAAATGTGTGAATGCTTTCCTTATCTGTAACCTGTTTGAAGTTGTGGATAGCTTCCTATGAAAGCTAAAAGTGCAACAATTTAAACCCATTGCATTACATGACCTGATCAGGGTCTCTGAGGCTGATCAGGCGTGGTTGGGTCGCACGGTTGAGCTTAGCTGCCGGTGACGTGTCGTCTCTGTTCCTTTTTGTCACCGACACCTGTGTTGACACTCCTGGCACAGCTGTGACCCGTGTCGGCGGCTCTGAGTCTGCGTGCTACCGCCTTTACTGGCTGGTTACGAAAGCGGCCCCGGCTTCCACAGACGAAACTGTGATATCCATCCTAGTCCAGAGACCAGTCTCGTCCCGGCGCGGTGGACTCTGTGGAATGGTGGACCGTCGCCGCTGTCTCTGATTGCGGCACCGCCAGCGGCAGTCTGATGGGAACTGGTCATGGCACGCACGGCTCGACATAGCGCCGAGGTCGTTGCCGGCCGCGGTCTGTTGTGGATACCGACTTCACCAGTCCATTCATTCCAGCGGTACCTGAGGCTTTAGGAACGGCGGGCAGGACAAGTTGTGAATAGAAGGAGCTTGCGTCTCGGAGCTTTTAGGCTGCGCTATACATACGTCTATTCTGTACTTGCAAGTGATTGCTTAAAAACGTTTTGAAGTATACCTACATTTAGTACATTTAGTAAGTACCAGAGCGGCGGCGGCGGCGATCAATGAACCACGGCGGTAAGGGGACGTGCTGGCGAATGCACCCGCTCCAGCCGGCCTTGGAGACCACAGAGCTCTTGGTGTTAGGTCGGCCTTGGGGTGCTCGGCCCGCCGACAGTCATTGTTTGGCCGGACTGACTGGGCCCCTTGTAGCCGAGGAGCAGTGTGGTCTTCCTCGCAGACGTGAAGGGGAGGCATTTGGCCTTTGACGGGCGAAACTGCGACCAGTTCTATGGGGAAAATATCGACGGTACAATGCTACGCAGTGCTTCTGTCGTATAGCTGGCTCCTCCGCATCGGCTCATTTTTACGACGAACACGATGGTGATTCCCCTGATAAATCGTTGGTGATGTCAGCCGTCACGGACACCGAAATTGGTGCAGGATCTAATATCGATATGGCGTGATTGACAGAATGTGCAGCTGAGTGCACAGATGGCGTACAACCGTGTACAGGTGACGAGTCGTTGCGAAACAGCTGTGCTGAAAGTATGTTGATGGTGTGCACCGAAATGTTTAGGTCGTTTCTGCCACGGTAACTTGTCAAGAAACGTCTGGATCTCATTTTCATGCCAAATTTTCCTTTGATTCGTCTTTATCAACCATATAAAATGCTTCACCGTTTATGTCCCACATTTGCCTCGCCGTTCTAAGTTAACGTTCAGGTGACAGGCTGCTGTAGCCGGCAGTGCGCAGAGCTGGGATTACTTCGATATGCTGCCCTTTCGATAAGCGATATCTTTCGTCGCATTGCGATGGCGATAGACGATAGTCCATGTTGAAACCCGAGTTGCCACATCGGTTTTAGGGTGGCCGGTCGCCCGCATGGCTTCACTTCCCCAGCGCTATCGCTGTATACTCCGTATCGGCGCCGTTTGCTTTGACCACTCGACTGCCTGAACCGAACCGCTGTGTTCCTGCCGTGCATAACTGACTGAACTGCTGCGTTCCTGTGTTACACGACGGACTGAGCCTCTGTGTTCCTGTGTTACGTGGCTGAGTGAGCTGCTGTGATTCTGTGTTACTCGACTGAACGAACCGCTGTGTTCCTGTGTTACAGACAGCGCACTTGAAGGACCGCAGGGAGGGAGCTGAGAGTAGACCGGCGAATCCGTGCCTCTAGCCCAGTCGAGTCGCCGTCACCATGGACAAGCCGACGGCGCCGCCGCCGGGCTTCGTGCCGCCCTCAGACGCACCACCGAGCTACAACCAGGCGATGGGAGGCGGCGTGGCGCCCCACTCGCCCTACCACCCGCAGCCGCCTGGTGAGTGACCTCGCGCTCGCCAGGGACCCGCAGAGGGGCGTGGATGGCAGGGAATGGCCTCTGTGTGTGGTAATGTAGTGGTGTAGTGAATGCACTGTAGCACTGAACGCACTGAGTTGGTAGTTGTAGTGTACAAATTAATAACTGTGCTCTGCCTCCTCTCCTAGTCATGATTCATCTTTGCAGTCGACTTATCACTAACAGCATGATCTAATGTCTACTGAATTTCCAATTTCCTCCACGCTCGTTCGACCTCTGGCGGAAATGACACATGCCAGTTGTGCCAGCTGCGTCCAACCTCCCTCTCCGAGTATCCCGGTGACCTAGTTGGAGGGGTTAGTTCTCGCGATTTGGGCCGGGGGTAGCTTCTCAGAGACTGCAGCGTTGCGGCTGCGTAGGATCCTGTCCACACTGGGCAGTGTGTGCAGAGTACCGTGCGTTCGACCTTCGGGTGCGTTTGAGACTGATGTCTGTGTATACCGTGCGGACATGGAGAGCGGGTGATGACGACTGATGACGACTGTGGGGGGGGGGATAGAGGAGGGGCAGCTGGGGCAGGGGCGGGGTGAGTGATGAGAGCTGTCCGTGTCGGATCGGCCGTGCGGCGTTGAGTGGATTTGCGAATGCGAACGATGGGCTAGCGGGGCAAATTGGAGGGGTTTTGGTGCAGATACGGGTAGCTAGTAGCTACACAAACTTATTATGCTTGTTATGATAAATGTTGACATTTTTGTGGCGAGCTTTTGGTAATTGAGAAAATGCTCAATTTTCCTGGAAACTCTGATAGCGGATGCCCATTGAGGAAACTGAGAAGCTTGTCTGCCGTCTGGTAACTTTCCGCATGTTTGTCCCCAACTTCCGCCCGCTAATGAAAATATTGCTCTGCGATTCATCGGCGATCTTTTTACCCGGTCAAATTGCCTTGGTTACAAGGACTTTGTCAATAACGCTCGCAATTCCAAGTCATATTGACATTGTGGAATGTGGATCGAGTTATTTGCTGGCTGCTATATTACATAACGTCGTTTAATACAGCCTCCACTCGGTTCCGGCTCGACACGGATCAGCGTCCTGTCGTTCCGGTCTCTTAGCTTTTTACAATGACGGGAAGTTCATCACTCGCTTGCATACATTGTGACAGGTGAATTGCACGTATGTCGTATACGTTACCCGCAGCACTGTTTGTTGTGATGGCGGTGTTTTTATGAAACTGTATAGCCGCGGACGGACGATCCACTAATCACGGTGACATCTTCGGATGACACGACGCCCTGGACGCGACAGCCGAAAATAGCCGTGACTTTTAGGATGGATGGTTTTGTCACGATGTAAAGTAAAGGATCGGAGCCTGTGGCAGAAGAGACATTGAAAAGGTTCAGATGTGTCCACCGTGGGCATGTCTCCACACCTGTCGAGTCAGACACGTGTGTGGTCGGTCCGCAAACTCTCTGACGCAGGTTGATCCTGTTCTGCGCTGCGCTGGTGACAATCTACGATGGCGATTTTAGTTCAGTGCGGCTTCAATTTTATTTCATACTTTCAGACAATTTTAGTCTGTCTTGTTTTTCGGATAAGACATTTTTCAGAATTTCAGACCTAACATTTTTCGAGGAATTCATGCTTCTTGTTGACAGCAACCATAAATATGTAATTACGATAGCTGCGGATGCGTGTCTCGAATACCTCTTTTTGCCGAACTCTTTGTTGTGCTCCTGTGCCCGCTGCCTGCCTGTCATAACGCTCACCTCTGTTCTATAACTGCACGCGGTGACGGACTGCCTCTCTCCGCCTCTCACTAACACGCTGACCGTGTCTCGCCACCTCTGCTAACTACTGCCATCTGTCTGTCTCTGCCTGCCTGCCTCTCTCTCTCGCCTGCCTGGCTGGCTGGCGGTGTAGCTGCCACCATTGTGCGCGAGGAGGCGATGGTGTTCCCCGCCGACACCTCGGTCCAGTACGTGGCCCCGCAGCAGCAACAGTATGGATACGGTAGGTGACCCGTCACCTCCGCCTGCATGGCTGTGCTCCGAGAGATGGGTTAAAACGTCAAAGGGGGTCTGGGGTCGCGCAGAAGATCGAACTGGCAATGATTCATCGCTTCGCAGTAGTTCTGTGTTTGGATGTAATTTAAAGTTGCTTGCTGTGCATCAACAGCTCAGAATTAACTCAAAGCAGATCGACTTGTTTGAGAAGCTTTTGCTCAGTTCTGACGCTGGCATGCTGTGTGATTGAATTCTAGTCCATTGGTCGTTGGTCTGTAAACCTCCTCTTAATTCAATGCAATGTCCTAGTGATTTCTTCTCAACCCCCCCCCCCGCGACAACGTCGTCTTCTCTTATGGCTTTAAGAGTTAATTGACTCATTAAGTCTGTGGACTGTGCTCAGTCAGTCTGACCCGCCCCAGTCCCACTGCCGTCTGCCTCAGCGATCGCGGCGGATTGATTGCGTATTGGTCTGTCATGGCCTGTGATCAGTCTGTGACCCCCTCTGACCTCCCCTCCCGTCTCTCCCCGTTCCAGTGGCGGCGCACCAGGTGCACGTGCCGGTGGTGACCACCGTGGTGCCGCCCGGCCCCAACCCCACGCACATGATCTGCCCGCACTGCCACGCCGAGATCGAGTCCACCGTCAAAACGTCGCCCTCCACCATGGCCTGGCTCTCAGGCGCGCTCATCGCGCTCTTCGGGTGAGTGGGGCTCGGTGGGATCAGCTTGGGGCCTTGCTCTGTTAATTGCTGTTGATTGCTTGATTGATCGATAACTCGTATCGTGATAACCCCACGATTTGTGTCATCGATCAAATTAAGTGTTGATGGAAGAAGTGGAATGATTCGGTCGCTTATATTTGACACTATTTTTCTTCTTGATTTGATTGTTTTTTAGCTGATGCCATGTTGCAGACGCCCTCCAGCAGCTAGAGCTAGAGAATAATGCCGCACAATCCACGAGACCCTCAGTCTGAGTTCCTCCGTATGCCCCTAGCTGCTTATTCGGCTGCTGCCTGATCCATGAGTGGATCTGATTTTATCTTTTCTCTCGCCAGCTGCTGGATGGGCTGCTGCCTGATTCCCTGCTGCATGGACGAGTGTATGGACAAGGAGCACAGCTGCCCCAACTGCAAGGCCTTCCTCGGCAAGTACCGACGGTAAACGTGCTGCCACCCAGCGGCGGCGGCGACAACTACAGCTAAACTGCGTCAGCCGACAAGGCGTGCTGGCCGACTATTCACTGCGCCAGATCGCCCACCGAAAGTCTGACTGGCGAGAGCCCGCGTACAGTGTCAGTGTCCTCTACACCTCCGGGATAAAGCCTTCTGAGTGACACGCGAATTCGGCGAATACGTCTGGGGACGTAGGTGACAGTCCGCGACAGTGTAGTCACTCTAACTATCATACGTGTCTGTCGTAGCCCGTGGAGCGGATCGGTCCGTCCGCTCCCGCGCCGCTCGCCAAAGTACCGGCTGACGCCGCCAGCGCCGTGGAAGCCAGCCGATCGTCGGGCCGTCTAACCGAGTGTGGTCGTATTCTCGAGCCAGCCTGGCGCAGAGCGCGCCCCGGGCTGGCAGTGGTGTCAGGAGTTCGTGTATCCGTGTTGCGGGCGGGGTGAAATGTGCTGCCGGGGATCGGGGTTATTCACCAGCAGCCCGCGACTGCTGAGGGTGGGTGGGGTCAGCATTTTGTGCCTCTGTCGTCTCTCTGTGTCTGTTGCTGTGGTCTGAACTGGACTGACATGGTGACTGTAGTAACACTGGACGGCCGCCGGCCTATGAACCGTCCTTCGGACCGGCGGCTGTTGCATTTTGACGTCCAAGTGACGGCGTTGTGACCACCGCGACTCTCCGGGCGCGTCCCGCTTCTCGCAGTACCGTAAATGATCGACTGTTACAGACTATTACAAATCAGTGTGTATTCATAGGAGCGTACAGCTGCTGTTATCGAACTGTTCCTATTTTGGGCAGCCGTGTTAATACCGGAAGGCAGCACCGAAGCTTTTTTGCTACTGTCGCCGTGGTGGTTCCTTTACGCTGGGCTAATCAGCTATACGCGTGACCGAGTCTTTCTCTGGCATCTGATTGCTCTCCGGTCACTGTGTGTGTCGCGCTGTGCGTGCCGGTATCTGTTTCTGCGGGGCTGCTAACACTAGCTGGGCCGGGCGGACCGCCACGCCCGGCAGTCGGACGCCCAAATAAACACGCACTCCGAGACTGTGTACCGGCTGTTGGCACCGACGAGACGGCGCGGATAAACGCACGGTGCCTCTGAGAGGCCATGGGGATCGATCGGCGTAAGCGGAGGTCAGGAACGGAGCTTCAGGGTGTGACGCACGCGATGCCAGACCTATACTTATCATGCACTGACTATTGGCCACATCGTAAGTGGAAATGCGAGGCTAATTTAACAGGCCCACACTCGCACACTGTTCTCAAGCTATCCATCAAGCGGCGTTTGCATTAAGTATAAGCAAAACAATTAATTTCTCTGTTCATGCTTTCTTTCACAACCAGCTAGTTCAAAGCCACTCGTGCACCCTTCACTGAAGTTCGACAACCACATTGATTGCCTTTGTCGCGTCACCGGTCGATAAAGTTCAAGCTAAAAAGTGAAGCTCTGTATTCAGGGCAGCTGCGACAGTGACTGGCAGACAGTAACAATGGAACAGGTCCGCCGGACAGCTGCCCGGGTCAGGTACTGACGACTGGACTGGCTTCAGTCAACGCGGCCCAGTCCGCCAGACGACTGCATGAAGCAGGTACTAGGACTGACAGCTGGTGCGGCCGCAGTCAGGCACAGACTGGAGGCGACTGATGAGATGGCACAGTGTGTTCAGAGATCACAGCGCTAGGGCCGGCGGACGGCGGTCGGTCCGCCCCCGTTGACCCGTACTTCGACCAAGCACTCTATCGACTCCTGCCGGCGGGTCCACCGTCCTACTCGGGGACCGGGTCTTCACTCGGCGGCTCTGGCGCAGCGGCCGTCTGCCGCGGCTGTGTCGCCGCCGCGGACTTTACCCTCTGTTTGACGGTCGAGTCCGAGCCTCGCGACTCCGGAAGGTCCTTGGCCTGCGGGTCCGACTCCGACACCCTCTTCTTCCTCTTGACGACGAAACTGAGTGAGTCCTTGTTGAAGTGCAGCGGCATCGGGCCCAGGTCTCCACTGAACCGGTTCTTCAGAACCTGGTGGACAAGAGATGGATCAGCTGGTGGCACGCTGGGATATCGCTTACCACTTACGAGTTAGGACCATGCCGTCATTGCCAGTGTTATTGTCCGCACCAACACACAAGGCGCATTTGTTTTCTAACAAACGGGGTCAGAGTACCGAAATTCACTTTTCGAAGTTAACGAACGAAGTTCGAAGACCTGAGTCATTAACGTCTGCTGTCTGCGTTTCATACTGAGAGCCGTCCGCACCTGAATATACTTCCTCTGGGTGTCGCCGGTTCGCAGGACCTGCATGATGAGCACATTATCGGCCTCCTGTGTGGCGCGCGCCCCGCCAAACACCGAGGCCAGGCCCAGCTCCTCGTCCGACCGCTCCTGTATCGCGGAGAGAGGGCAGTCGAGTGCGGTGTGAACGGCAGTGCATCGACGGAGGAGCAGCACCTCCAATCACCACTCCTCTAACGTATTATGCCCAGCCACACGGTTTCGCTAGTCGCTACACAGTTGAGACTCGGAAGTTGGAAAGAAAAGTCATTCCATTCACGAATCGCAACAAGCACATCACAATTGTTTATTGTGCCCAGCCTCGCAGTAAATACTGACCGCAAGAGCCTTACTACCAACTACATGTCTTCAGATCGCACGCAAGAAAACAGAGACTCTTCTCCCGCCATCTGGCCGCCAGATTTCTGAGAAAGCCCTCGTCTCACCTTCCTTGGGTGTATGACCAGCGTGACGTGGCAGTTTTTCATGGTGGCGAACCGCCGGAACCGGCTAATGACGGCATCCTGCTCGAAAAAGCGGTCCATGCCGCGCTCACCGGCGCCCATCATAAACTGCAGGTTGTCCAGCACCACGTGGCCGATATCGTGCACGTACGCCGCGTGCGACATGGCCTGGGAGGGCGAGGAGCGGGTCAGAGCCTCAGTTATCTGACTTCATAGCAGGCCAACCGTTTATGAATTACAGGATGGATTAGATGCTACATCAGAGATGGATTAGATGATGGACTAGAGATGGATTTGAGGCGTAATAGACCGTGGATTAGATGAGGCGTCTCTTATCAAAGTTTACGAGGTAGACTCGTCAGTGATTTGCGGAGAAGTTAGTGCTTAGGTGCGAGTTTGGTGCTGATAAAATCACACATTGTACCGCGTTTTTAACTTTTCAGGGTACCTAAATAAACGTTTCCACACTCAGATAATCATCCCATGGTTGTAAGCTTTTCACAAGATAGTTGCTGATGAATGAGAGTCTCGGCTGACCAGTTTATGCCATACACCCCTGACCCCCCCCCCCCCCCCGATCACCTAGCACTCACGTCCAGCACGTGGGGTATGCTCTGCTGGCCGTGGAACGTCATGAACCACATGGGCAGCTTCTCAAACTCATCGGCCGCCTGAAACCAGACGGATATTAATCTGTCAAACTCTAGATAGAAAACATCGGATGTTACGAGCGAAGAGAGTAAGAAGCGTTACGAGAGAATGCTCTGAACATCATTTCAAAGGTCATAAAATGGAACATCAGGCATCGTGAGCATTTACAATTTACATCACTGATCTTGTGTTCAAGCTGAAGATAAATAGAAACATTACCAGCTATCTGCGAGTTTGACTACTAGAGGGACACTTCTGAGTAAAGCAATATTCCAGTCAGGGTATATTGAGCGATATTCCAGTGTACCAGTGATGCCGACTATCCCCGCGTTCAGTATCGTCTCATATCCGCTCAGCTCTGAGTACGTACCTGGTCGAACCTGTCGATGTGCTTGTCGAGCGCGCAGTTGGCCAGCTGGTGCAGCATCACCTTGGCCAGGCGCGTGTTGTTGATCTCGAAACTGCCCCAGAGCGTGTTCACCTGGTGGCGACAGATCGCAATCCGGTCAGAGACAGGCGAATTGCATGAATCACTTAGCACACTACCAGAAGGGCACTCGGCTGGGGGATACCTCACTTCCCATCAACAATCATAGAGTTCAATACAGTAAATTACAGAAAAATGATGTTCATATTCGGAGTCCGGGTAGAGAGCCTCTCCTACCGGAAAGGTAAAGCTGAGTACAGGCAACCGCCAGGCAATTCTCACCTCTTATCTTTCAGAGAAGTGTATTCAGGCGGCGAGGACTGAGCAGTCAGGACACGACGAGACTCGAGAAGACAGGACAGAAACAGGACAGGACGGCTGCACTTTGTCGGCTTACCCTCTGTATGCAGAGAAGCGGATTGATGATGATGGTGATTTTGATTTGGGGGTTTAGGGCGCCTGGATTGCAAATAGGGGCAGATTGAGGCGGCGAGAACAGGACGGCGAGCACTGAGCAGTCAGGATAGAACAAGACAGGACGACTGGGCTGTCAGCTCACCCCCTGCATGCAGAGATCGAGCGAGTACTCGCTGATGAAGGTGGTCTTCCCTGCGCCGGTGGGTCCCGACACGACGGTCAGCTCGCCGCGCCGGTGGCCGCGCAGCAGCCGGTTCAGCGCCGGGAACCGCTTCCACTGCACGCCGGCCACCTGAGGACGGGGGGGGGGGGGAGTCAGCGACTGGGGGAGACACGGGTCAAATACCACACACCGGCCACCGGAGGAACGGGGAGGGAGGGGGGAGTCCGCGATTGACAGCGACAGAGGAACTGCCGACCGCTTCCACTGCACGCCGGTCACCTAAGGAGCGGGGGAGGGGAGAGAGTGAGTGACTGGGGGGGGGGGGGGCACGGGTCAAATACAATACACCGGCCACCGGGGAGCGGAACGGCACTGGTCAAAGAATGGGCAGGCACAAGCCATCTATTACATTCCGGCCAACCAGCTGAGAGAAATAATAGAGGGACACCATGATATTTTGACTTTTAGTCCGGTGACTAGGTAATTAGGCTCAAGGTGAGCTGCTGCTGGTAGATTGAGCAGCGCGTGGGCGTCAGACACCAATTACTATGTCCCGTCCCGTCAATCCTATCCCGTTATACCTGATTGGCATTGGAGATCTCCTCGAAGACGTGCTGCCGCAGTGCGGAAAACGTGGTGATGGCGTTGTGGTAAAGCGGGGCGGCCGCCTCCAGGGCCCGCGTCAGCGAGACACCCGCCTGCAGCGCCTGCAGAGGAGGCCCGTGCTCCGAGGATGGCCTGAGAGATAGGGAACATACGTCAGATAGCATACAGACACAGCTGGGGTGACAGCCCGCGTCAGCGAGACGCTCGCTTGGAGAGCCTGGAGCGGAGGGCCGTGCTCCGATGGCGGCCTGTACAATGGAAAATGCACTGACATACACGTAACACACAGGGGGGGGGGAAGGGGGGCGGGGGACAGTAATGGTATATAAAATATCACGACTATTCTTGTCCCTGCTAACTTGTCAGAAAACAATCAATACATTATTCGTCAATACAAAGCTAAATTGTGTATATTTAGAGTCGATTATGATGCTTTAACCCGCGCCCTGGTGGGGTCTGTTTATAACGCGACCTGGTGGGGGGGGGGGGCTATTTTTTGCCCCCCCCTCGTATCTCCGAAACTACTGGACGGATCCGCAAAATTCAAACGGCGTTCGAAAGGCCTGTCAAATTTGTCGAAGGAAACCAAATTTCATTGACCTCGGGGGTCACCGATGACGTCACAGGTCAGGTCAAAGATGAAATTTTTCACCGTTCACGGGTCTTCTAGGGAATGCGCTATAACACCGAGGAAAACGCGTTTTGTCGAGAATCAGCGGTAGGGCGTCAGTTGCCTATATAGTAGATATGTTGCTATTAGAGGTCACTGGCAATACCAGGTCAGGTCACAGGTCAGGTCACCAAGGGTAACAGGTCAGGTCACATGAGCCCAACTTTACTAAGGTTGTGTGATACATGTTTTATGGCCAATTTTTCATTTCCAACTCAATGGTGTTGGTTATAAGACTAATTTTAAAGTTGATAGTTTTGCATAAAATGGGCATTGATTCGATGCAGCTCGTCACGGGGAGTCTAATGGTGGTCTTTGTTTTGCGCTACGGGGTCTAGAATTGCTAAAAATTGAGTTTGAAAATTTGACGTCATCAATTTTGAAGTTTTTTCGCTATAACTTCGCCCAAAAAAGAGGTATTAATCTCAAATTTGGTATGTGGATGGAAGGCGGTAAGGACTATCACATACATTCCGGTTTTTGCGAAATTCAAAAAAACTTTTTGGATTTTTCGATTTTTATATCCAAAAAATCTATTTTTTATTTTTGGGGGTCAAAATCCAAAAATTTCAAAAATCCGAGATAGCAGTTTTGTAGCCCTGTTCAATCTACAGCTTTTATGTCTTTATCATTTTTCTGTATTTGCAAAGCTATAGGCCTGACAGCTCTTCCCGTGAAACCCTTTTTTGGGTCGAAAACGGCAGAACATGACGTCACTCTGACGTCATTTCCGGCCAACCTATCATAGGCTTTGGAAAATTTTTGGTCACAATGTGTAAAATTGATGTCCGGGAGGGTACTGAAAGTTTGGTGACGATCGGCGCAGCGGTTCTGGAGATATATCGAAAAGTCTGGAGGGGGGGGGGCAAAAAATAGCCCCCCCCCCCACCACCAGGTCGCGGGTTAAGCAATGCATATAACATCAAAAGCACGTAACACTCTGCAAACCCGTGACGCACGGTGGCGACACATTTACCAAGGGAGCAATAGCAACATGGAAACACGACAGGACAATCAGGCCACAGACCAAACAGATCACATAACCACCGGATCGTCAGACTACAGGGTCCCGCACCGACACAACGATCCCGACCAACCCTCCACCGGCGCTCCCCACCAGCACACTGACCTGACGGTGAAGCAGCGCCGCTCGGCCAGTTTCCTCGCGAACACCCGCACGGCGTACCAGCTGACCACGTCATCAGGAAACCAGAGAGTGAGTCGCTGGAACCGCTCCAGGTGCGGTAGCAGCTCCGGCGGCAGACTGCTGCTGCCTGGCGGACAGATGGTGGAGGGACGGTCGACGATATGTACACGGGGAGCGGGGCTGGAGCGGTGCGGTAGCAGCTCCGGCGGCAGGTTGCTACTGCCTGATGGACAGCCGGACAGGGTGGTGACGGGAGGTACACGGGGAGCGAGGCCAGAGCGGGGCTGGAGCGGTGCTGCCCGCTGAGACACAACGGGGCAGGAAGAGTAACGAAGAGAGACGAGGTACGACCACGACGCCACGTCCTACCGCAGTCCACACAATCCAAAGAGCCGGGATACCCATGAATGTGCAACAGCATAAGCGCAGTGCTTTCGATGGACAAAACTGCGGTAATCATGAAATATATTACTTTTGACCGGTAATATACAACCAATGATATTATGTAGAGTGTGACCTCTATCAATACGTCTGTCGCTCACCATTTGGCAGTGCCAGCACCGGCTGGCGGGCCTTCTCGCTGATGGCCAGCGCGTCCACCAGTCGCGCGGTGAGCACGGCATAGTCGCGGCCGCGCACGGTGCCCGCGCCGGCCGGCAGCGGCAGTCCGGGCGGCAGCGTGCGCTCGGTACCGGCCGCCGCCAGCAGGCGCAGCCCGGCCAGAGAGCCGTCCGGTCTCCGCAGAGGCACCGCCAGACCGCCGTCGGCCGTCAGACGCGCCTCGAAGCGGCGCAACGTGTCCGCGCTGATACCCTGCAGAGTGTCGGGTGGGAGCCAGTCTGTCAAGCTGTTGCCGTGTAGCGGATGGGGACGGATATGGGGAGTCAGCAAGTCGCACCGGTATCTTGCGAGGCAGCGGGTTGTGTGGAGAAAGGGGAGATGGGTTACAACGACGACACATTTAAGTAAGTCTTTAGTTAGGGAATAGTTAACTGCATAATCTGTCCGTTTAAATCCAGGGGCACAGCGGCGTTGCGATGAAACAGAATGGTCTGTCACAATGCGAAAAAGACAAGTTCTCGTATCTTATTGCAAGGATTACGAGTTCAGTACCCTGTGCAATGTAATAAGCAGCGGGCAGCAGTCCGTTCCCCTATGGCACCACTCTGATCTCCGCCGTCCGTCTGTCTAACTGCCGGCCGTGATCGTTCTCTCCTCCGCCCCCACCTCACCCGCAGGCCGAGCCGCTCCAGCACCGGCTGCAGCGCGTCCTGCTCCAGGGACTCTGCCGGCTGGGCAGCCTCCCAGAGGCGGGTGACGGCGGCCGGCGGCGGCGTCGGCTCCTCGGCGGCGGCCGGCGGCAGACGGGCGGCCTTGCGGCCGGCGCCGGGCCGCCGCAGACTCAGGTGGTCCTCCAGCTGCGCCCAGCTGCCGCTGCGGCCACACTGGTGGCACACAAACGAGCCTGCCACAGGTCAGCGGGAGGGGAACCACAGAGGCACAGGTCAGCAGGGGCACGGACACAGGCCCGTCAGCGACAACAGACAACGGGGTCCCTGCAGTCTGCAAGGGACTTGGTGGAGCGCTGATGATCCTGCATCAATAAGGATGGACAGGCAGATAACTGTGATATCTGATTTCACACCCAAATGAAAAAAAAATGTAAATATTGCACCGAACTCAGATTGAAGAAGCAGGGTTGTACTTTTGACAACAACTCTAAAAGGCTGTATTGCTCTCTGTTGATTTGTGACATTATCACTGTTACCTCACAATAACTCCAATTGGTAAGAATATAAATCTATTGTAAATTGCTGAGAAAAAATGATATCAGGCATTCTTACCTGTAATAATGTTCACATACATTTTCTCTCCATCAGATTTTCTGCCTGCCTTCTTGTGCTTGCAGAAAATGCAGTCCATAATAAAACAGGTGTAGCCCAGCTCAAATGCCACATTGTTTGCCTTCAGTACATTCCTGATCTTCACTTCATCCACGCTGACGGGGAGATTTTGCTGGATTACCTGCGCATGAAGACTTGCTGCCATGTGGACATGCCTTTGAAGCTGCACCATTCCTCCAATGTAACTGATCTGCTCCAGCAACCCAGCCACTGAGATAGGACTTGTGCATTCCTTAGGAGAGCTGCACAGCTTGTAAGTGGATGATGATCTATGAAAGTCTGACTGTGAATTTTCACATGTAGTGGGTTTACTTGGAGATCGTACATGATGTGCTCTGGATGCAGTGAGAAAATGTCTCACTCTCCTGAAAATAGATGGCTATATGAAATTGACAATAAAGGCAATACATCCTTGATCTTGTGGCCTGTTGAATCAGGTGTCTGTCACCAAGTAACAGTGAGTTTGCAATTGGGAAGCTACACATTGTTTGACCTGCATTTCTATACTCAGCCAACTGGCAACTGGCCATGCTACACCCAGGAACAGCATATTACCACCTATCTGTGATTTGTTAAACTTTCAATTGAAATAATCACTGGTGTACCCAACATGGGCAAGGGCTGGCGGAGGGTCTGTAGACTCATTCACAAGCATGCGATGCGTCATTCACAAGCACAGGTTGGTGTGGCAAACAGGGCCATAGCGCCACCCATTCATCCCTCAACTTTATTTCTTTACAAGAAATGTTTCTCAGCTGTTGGGATCTACCAAATTGACTAGCTTTCATTTTCTTGTTTTGGGACAAATGGCACAATGTCCTGTAGGGCCTGTTCTTGTCAATTCCAAGGGCTCCGCCACCAGGGGGGGGGGGGTGACGGGGAGGGGGATGTGTCCCCCAATATGTTACATTTTTAACATTACACCTATGGGTGTTGCATGGAAAGAATTGACTTCAAACGACCTTCATTCCCCCAACCGGTAGGTAGGTAGTTGAATTTAAAAAAGCAATTTATCTCTGGCCTCTGGGCTAGCTGTAAATTATGTAACACCACCACATGCTTATATCATAGTAACTTACGTCCACATGTTTTGAAAGGAGCACCCATCCGTTGCATTCCAACGGCAAAGGATACAAAAATAATATAAAAACAAACCACCCTCACACGACACTACAATACACACGTGCTGCAATATTTTTGAAGTTCCTGATGCTTGCAAAAATATAGCTCTTGATAAATTTTCCAAGAGTTATCTCCTTCAGGTATGACGTCATCTGCAAATATTTTGTGTTTGGTATAGTAATATATTCTTTTAACCGGAATTATTTAATAAATTTGTACCATATTTTAATTTATAATCGTAAAAAGGCTTTTATCTAAATAATATATGCAGCAAAGACGTTCAATTGTGTATATACGTCATATCATTTTAACAATACTTCATAAGAAATATACGAACCTGAAGTACGAAATTTGAATGTTTTCCGTTGCGCTCTCCGTGTGTTTGTGTGCGTGCGTTTGGATCTTGTGCCGGCGTTAGGGTTTTGAACCGATTTTAGTAGCAGTGGTGTGTCTTCCCTGATAATTTCATTTGGTAAGAATTGATAAGTATGGTTGATAAATGCATCATCGTTAACCATTTATCTGCTTGAAACCATCTCGTTACCCCATCTCAATCTCGTACGGCGTACGAGCTGTGTGTCACTGACGCAGGCTTGACACAAATCTCAGTCTAGTTAAGAAGCCCTTTTTGCTCGAGATGTAATTGCAGGTGTAAGCATTTTGCAGGATTGTAACGAGCCTTGCAGCATTCCTCTAAACTCCCGACTGAGCGCCCATAACGCGATTTCGCCTGCGGCAGGTTGAGGTCACGATGAGCCGCCTGCCGACTCCGTCGTCTCGGCTGCCGGTGGCCGGCACCTCTCGGCTGACGGCAGCCTCCGGGATCGTGCGCCCCACACCCCGTGCTACCCCGGCCACCGCCGGCAGCGCGTCCGCCCTGAAACGGCAGGCCTCGCAGTCGTCGATGGCGACCAAGCGGGGTCGTCTGGACACCTCCGGAAGTGAGTAGTACGGCCGGCGAATTCAAAGGCTGAGCTGCTGATTTGAATGTCATTGATTGATGAATGAGATATGAGTGGGTGTGTCAGTCCCATTCAGATTGCTTAAAAGTAAATGATGGGTATAAATGTCACTGGAGAGTTAATGTCTCTCAGGGTGTCGCATCAGTGCACCTGGTTCCTTACATACAGCCGACCTGCTCCGATTTCCCGCTGCATCTCGCTGCCATATCTGACCGGTGCTCGTCGATGCCCCCAGGTTCGGACGGCTCCTCCACGGGTCGTCCTCCGCGCGCGGGCTCGATGCGTCCGCCGGCCAACCCGGGCCTGATCCGCTCCAAGTCGGTGGCCAACCTCAGCACGCCGGCCGGACGGCCCATGAGGGACGTCACATCCCGGGTTGTCTCCCGTAATAACGTGAAGGCCGCCGGCACAGGTGAGCTCTGATCCGCCCTCCGTGTAATGTACCGACTTTTATCGTATGCTGATCTGATAAAACATCGGTGGTACCGGTTCCAAACAATGTCTGGGCGGTAATACGTATGAATATATTTGTTTTTTTTTTCACATAGCTGTGCGAAAATGCCAGCAATAAAAGTTTCAAGATGCTCTGATTTTGATCAGGGACTTGAACTAAGTGACGTTAGGGGATGCTAGCGGGCTAGTCAGCAAACCAGTAGTTGGTTGTGTGTTACAATCGTTGTTACCCATTTCAGGATTGTTTCCATGAGTGCCATGGCTGTCTGCCCTGCCTTTAATCCAGCGTAGTCTCACCTGACTCATCTCTTACATTCTGACCTATTAAAACCCCACCCGTCACCAGTGGGCGGCCGGCCGGGCGCCGCCAAGCCGACGCCGAAGCCGGCGGCGAAGCGGCAGCCGTGGGACCTGAAGGGCCAGATCCAGGACATGGACGCCCGTCATCGCGAGCTGATGGAGCAGCTGCAGCTGACGCAGGAGCGCGTCTCCAGGTGCGTGGCGGGCCGAGGGCGCCTGGGAGCGACGTTGATGGCGGGGCCGGACTTCAGCTGTTGATGGACGTAAAGATACATACATATTTGTCAACCTTAAATTTGAATTATGACAAATGGTTATAAAGTGTGACGTTATTCCTCTGCGTTGTGGTCTGTGCTCGTACGATTATTTCTATCATGCTCCGCAGCTCAGTGTCTTGGTATGCCTCCACTGCCTGGTTTCCACACACGGCTGCGGTAACATCCCCCCCCCATACGACTCCCGGTAACATCTCCACCGATACATGACTTTCGGTAACATCTCCATCCCCACACGACTCCCGGGAACATCTCCACCCCCACACGACTCAGTAACCCCCCCCCCCCCCCACAGGATGGAGGAGGAGAAGCAGCAGCTGGAGCAGGGTGTCCGCGAAAAGGAGACCATCACCGCCGAGGTGCAGTCGGAGGCACAGCGCGTCTCGCGTCAGCTGCAGGACCGCGAGGACCAGTGGGAGTCAGAGCGGCGCCAGCTGCAGCGGCGCCTCTCCGAGCTGGAGGCGCAGCGGGAAGATTCGGAGACGCAGCGGGCCGCGCTGCAGCGCCGTCTCACCTCACTGCAGGCCGAGCTCCAGGCCAAAACGGACGAGGCTGACGCACTCCGGGTGAGAACGGCGCGGGGGGGGGGGGGGATCTGGCGAGCGGGGCGGATCCACTCGTGGTTCTTGGATTGGCCGGTGTGTTGAATTTGTAAGTTTGCGTTTGCGCTGTCCATGAGTGCTGCCTGCTGCAGTGGTCAGTGACCCATTACTTGACTACGTCCCGCCTATCTGTCTGCCTGTCTGACTGTCTGTCTATCCGTCTGTCTGACTGTCTGTCTATCCGTCTGTCTGTCTGACTGTCTGACTGTCTGTCTATCTGTCTGTCTATCTGTCTGTCGCCGATCTGACCCCGGCCTCTGTGCCTCAGTCGTCAGTGGCCCAGCTGACGGCCGCCCAGGCCACGGTGGGCGCGCAGCTGTCGGCTGCCCAGCTGACCGTCCAGCAGCTGACCGCCGCCCGCGACCAGCTGGAGGCCACGCTGCGGGAGCGGGACGCCACCGTGGCGGAGCTGGAGGCCCGCGCCCGCCGCGAGGAGACCCTGCGCCGACAGCTGCACAACCAGGTGCAGGAGCTCAAGGGCAACATACGCGTGTTCTGCCGCGTCCGGCCGCTGCTCGGGGAAGAGGTGGTCCAGGCCGACGGCCAGATCCCGCACCTGCAGGTCACCGACGAGCGCTCGCTGGAGATCGGCAAGGCGGCAGGTAACTCATGACGAGCAGGCCAGCGTGGCACTGTTTGCCAGTCAGTCATGATGTGTGCTGATTAATTCATGTACGCCAATTTAGATGCCGCTGCTACGGTGCTACAGATCGCAGCGGTGCAACATGTTTTGTCTTCTGACTGAACATACTTTCAAAGTCATTCACTGTTCTATGATGGTTAATTTGTGGTCTGGTCTGCTATGCCCCGTTGCGTCCGCGTCTTCGCCCTGACTGACGGCGTGTCGTCCGTCAGGTGCTGGTGCCAACGAGACTATGAGCGGCCGTCGTCGGGAGGAGGGTGACGGCAAGGTGAACTTTGCGTTCGACCGCGTCTTCCCGCCGCAGACGTCACAGGCCGACGTCTTCGAGGAGATCTCTCAGCTGATCCAGGTGAGGGAGCGATCACGGCTGATACAGGCATGTCAGCAGAGCACGGCCGGGGAAGTCGCTGGGAAGGATTTGTCAACACTTGTTCATAGCTCAAACTTGTAGCTGCGAAGCTCGTGCGGCGTAAATTGCTTTGATGTGCATATGCGGTTTACTTTCAGCTGGTCAGTTTAGCACCTAATTCCAGACCCTAAAGCTAGCCAGGGTTGGCATTTTTGCCGGCAAAAACTAGTTTATGCCATTTGCCGGTTTAAACCGGTTTTAACCGGCAAAAAGTGGCAAAAACTGGCAAAAACTCAAAACCATTACAATGATTTCCCTAGACCTGCATTTGAATTGGAAACATTCTAAGGGGGATTCAGTGAAAGTTGTATGCTTTCAAAAAGAAGTGACCTATTGACCATTCGACCAGTGTTTCATACAATAAAAACATTTCCATGGGCTTCCCGCTTTCCATTAGTACCTAACCAGTACGTCTCTTTGGGGCGACAAATGAGCCAGTGCAAGAGTGATTCCTGTACATGCTGAAGTGCGAAGGGGTGCCTGCCATTCATTTGTGCACGTGACGGCACCCATACTCACTGGTTCCTAACGGTATTAGTACCAAATTTGAGCTCAATCGACGCAGCCGTTCTCGAGAACTTGAAGTGTCGTCGGTCGTCCCACACGTGCGCTCGTAGAAAGTTGATCCCGACTGACTTATCTGCGACACCCATACTAATCTGTCTGTAACGGTGTTCCAAATTTGAGCGCAATCGGCAGAGCCATTCTCGAGATCTGGTCGAAAGCGACCCCTGCACGTGTGCACCTGCAGTAGGTAGCACCCTAACCGTGATGCATGGAAATGCCAAGATTCTTCGGAAATGCATTGTCTGTCTGACGGATGCCTACCGACATGCATAGACATTGCAGCCCGGGTAGCTAATGGGGCAAACTTCAGAAACTTAGCGCGTCTCTTAAACATCCAGAAATGCATTTGTACATTTCAAATCAATTGTTAACCAGAAAAGTTGCAAGTCTTGACTACCTGAGTTTTTGCCAGTTTTTGCCAGTTTTTGCCACCAGGGTTTCTGCCAGCCGGTTTAAACCGGTAAAAACCACTGGCAAAAACCAGTTTTTGCCACCCCTTGCCAACCCTGAAGCTAGCAGTAGTCATAAAATAATATGGTCCCGTGGGCTGGTGACAGTCTCACTGATACCACCACGCCGGTTAAAGCTAAACTCTAACCCACCCTCCGCCCTCCTGCAGTCGGCGCTAGACGGGTACAATGTCTGCGTCTTCGCGTACGGCCAAACCGGCTCTGGTAAAACTCACACCATGGAGGGCGGCCGTGACGACGAACTGCAGGGCGTGATCCCGCGCGCCGTCAGCCAGATTTTCGACGCCTGCGCTGCGCTCAAGGAGAAGGTATTGTCAAACGGAGATCGGAGAGTGCCTGGGAGCGCAACGTGAAGTTTTTTTTTTTGTATCACGTCGTTAGGGTCCAAGGACAATACAAGCGGGGACATTGGGGTTCTGTCGGCAAAGAAGAAATATTCAAGTTCATTTTAAAAGTCTACCGCGCAATATAGCATTCTTTTGCTCCGTTGCAAGTGGCGCTACTCTGGCGGCGAATCTGGGAACTACTAACTGTACTCAGGCCATGTGACCTTGACCGGCTCCTGAGATTGGGGTCACGTGACGCTCGGCCCGCCGGCGGCCGGTCCCACGAGAAAATTCAAGTTTGCAGTGCAATTTTGCATTGACAGACATCATTGACATATGATTCTAGACTAGCATTCGTTACAGCGTTTAATTTTACACAGAATGACACTAAATTCAAGAGATTATCCGCCATCACTTCATCGCACTTTTTGTGTAACAGAAAGAATGTCCAGCCGACATTGCATGCTATAGCATAGTCACCGTGGTTATCCCGCGCCCGGCTGGGGGTCCTGGATTTCCACGCCCTGCTGGGGGGGGGGTTTGAACACCCCCCCCCCCCTTCTAACTCGGCTCCTTGGCCACGTAACGATACGCGGAAGGCGGTGTTCGAAAGAGCGTCAAAAATAATGAGGAAATCACTTCGGTCAATTTTTTGGTCAGGTCAAAGGTCAGGTCACCAGAGGTCATTGAAGGCAAAATTTCGCCGATTTCCAGGTCGAATGTCGACAATTTTCAAGAAGCCAACGCATAACTCGGGAACCAATAGAGCTACAGCGCCGCGGAAAAGCGCATTCGATAGTCCTATTAACGCCCTTTCTGAATAATTTTCTCAGATTTGACCTAACGTCAACGGTTTTGCCTGCAGGGGGCAAAAACTGCAAAAATAGCCGATTTTTTCGGAAACAGTCTTTCTGCAATAACTTTTGACCCAAGCCTTGTACGAGCTTACTTTTACCGGCATCGTGTTCCTCTCGTCAAGACGCATCGAATGAACTATAACTTGACCTTGAAAGGTCAACTTGAAAATTTGACCTCATGTCAAGGTCATGACCTGACCGGAAAGTTCATGTTGCATATCAGTCGATCCGTATCGTCAAGCTGAACACATCTAAGGCGTTTTCATCGCTCTAGCATGCCTCTATCAAAAGTTATTTGCGAAAAACTGTTAGATACCATTCGTGACCTAAGATGACCTCAGGGCATAAACAGGGGTCACGGACACCATTTTCATGTTCAGTGTGTCTAAACCACTTGTAATTCAGTGGTTGGGAGTGTTTATAATGTCTTTCGTCCAAAAGAGGCGCATTTCAATTTTCTCCCATTGACTTATAATGGGGAGGTCGCAAAATTGACCTGACCTTAGGTCATCGATATCAAAATTCTGAGACATACATTTTGTACATGCTATTGCTCTTAGTAATCGCTGAAAGTTTCAAAGCGATCGGTCACTCGGTGTAGCTATGACAGACATTGAAACTTTTTATGAGGTGAGGTCACTTCAAGTGACCTTGTGACCTGACCTTGAATGACCGTGGTCTGAAATTTTCACAACATGTGTAGAATTGATGTATAATAAGGTGTACCAAAAACGGCGGCGCTCCGCGCCGCCGTTTTTGAGATATTCGCGAAAAACCACAAGGGGGGTGTTCAAACACCCCCCAGCAGGGCGCGGGTTAAGCAATGGGAGCGTACACTGTGGCCTATGATGTGTGCAGACTTATTGCTTTTGCCAAGAAGCAGAGCAATATTTATTTGAATCTGGAATCGTGTCTGGTACTAAATTTAACGGGCCATGCGCTGGCACCTACTTATTAGGTATTCGAAACATCAAAATAACATCTCGTCAGTCGTCACAGATTTCAATTTCCTTACTCGTTCATAGCTCAGTGTTCACGGCTCATTCTGCATTGCTGGGCCTGATAACAATAAACTTCGAGTTACCTATGTCAAGTTTCATGTTGACACGCACAATGCAACGAACGATTCTAGATCAAGAAAGGTGTCCGATACCTAGTGTTCAATTCTTCACAGTATGGCGCTAATATTTAATAGGGAAAATCTGCTATGATCACTTCACGGCGCTAATTGTGGAACAAAGTCATGCTGCATATTTCCCCGATGAGAGCGGGGCGTGGCCGTGAACGCAGAACGACGTGAACCCCACGATAGATTGTTTTTTGCCAACAACCAACGGAAGAATATATTGGTTTTAAAATCACATCCGGGAAAAGATTTTACGGGCTATTCAATGATAATAATTATTCGAAGAATGAGGATTGAGGATACCTCGTCGCAGATTTCATTTTCCCCACTATCTTTACTTGGAGGTCGATTAGCATCGCTAGCCAGATCTACGTTTATATTGATTTTGTTATCGACATGCACGATAAAATGTCGACTTTTGACAAGCTGTTGATAAAGCGTTCAATTCTGCACAAAGTGACACTAAAAATAAGGGATAATCCCACATCTGCCGTGCAAAGGAAAAACCACGTATGTTACCGTTTTTTTTTTAAATAAAAATGTTCAGGAGAGCCGAAAATGCGTTTTTCATTGTAGCAACCGTGTAAAAGCTCGCACAGACAAAAGAAAGATATCATTGAATTCCTCTCCACCTTGCGATTCCGATGAGCTTTGTTGTAAATATATAGTTATAAATACTGCCCTAAAAATTCTAGGACGTTGTTTTGCCACCATCAAATTTGATCTATCAAATTAAACTTTGCAAAGGAAAAAACACGTATGTCATTTTCCGTGTGGCTAAACCACGTATGTGGCGCTCAAACTACAGTCGTAATTGGCAAAACAACGTATGTGACTAGCAGTGGATGACATACGTGTTTTTGCCAACACCGATTGTTTTGACACCGCAACATACGTTCATTTCCAACATAAAAGCTAGCGTACCAATGAGGATTGTGGCCGTGGGAGTGGCTTTGTGATTCCTGCTAGGCAAATTTCGCCACACCCAAAGCGTGTGTATCGCTAGCATTTATATCCGGGGCTGAGTGTTTTAACGTTGCTGTTTATATAAGCGAAAATTTGTACGAAACTACACAGATTAGTCCATGGGAAGATTCTTATAACTTCCCGTGCCGTCGGTGGGGCCAGTACTGCCCCCCCCCCCGTGCCGGATCCCCCGGAAGGGCCGTTGCCGCGCCCCCGGTCACGTCGGGAGGGCAGGTGCAGCGCCCTGCGGTGGCACGTCCCCGGTTGCGTCGGTAGGGTCGGTGCCGCGTCCCCCCCCCCCTCCCCTCCAGGGCCGTTGGAAGAATACTGGGTCGGTGTGGCAGGTGCCACGTTCCACTGTACGCATCCTCCGGTAGGACCCGCGCTGTCCCCCGGTGTCGTCTGTAGTGCCGGTGCCGTGTCACCCGCTTTTGTAGTTAGCACCAGTGCCGCGTCCTCCTGTAGCGCCGGTGCCGTGTCCTCCGTTAGGGCCGGTGTGACGGTGCCGGTGCCACGTCCTCCGGTGCTGTCGGTAGGACCTGCGCTACGTCCCCCGGTGCAGTCGGTAGGGCCGATGCAGTGTCCTCCATTAGGGCCGTTGCTGCGTCCCCCGGGTAGGGCCGGTGTGACTGTGGCCAGTGCCGCGTCCCCCGGTAGGACTGGCGCCGCGTCCCCGGTGTCTTCGTTAGTACCGGTGTCACGTCCTCGGGCTGCATCGGCAGGGCTGGTGTTGCGTCCTTCGTTAGGACTGTGCGGCCGGTGCGGCGTCCCCCAGTGTTGTCGTTAAGACCGGTGCCGCGTCCCCCCGGCAGGGCCGGTGTGACCGGTGCCGCGTCCCCCCGGTGTTGTCGGTAGGACCGGTGCCGCGTCCTCTGGTGGGGCCGGTGACGTGTCCACATCTACATAGGGCCCGTGTGACGAGTGCCGCGTCCCCCGGCGCCGTCGGTAGGGTCGTTGACACGTCCCCCGGTAGGGCCAGTGTGGTCGGTGCCGTGCCCTCCGTTATGGATGGCGTTCTTCGCCGCATGGATGACGCGCAGCGCTGCAAGATGCCGCACGATAGCCGCATGCCTGACGTGCGGCAGCCGCACCGCAACCGTACCGCATCAAAATCGCACTCGTGTGGGGCGGGCCTTAGGGCCGGTGTGGCCGTGTCCCCCGTTAGGGCCGGAGTGACGGTGCCGTGTCTCCGTTAGTTAGGGCCGGTGTGGCCGGTGCCGTGTCCCCGGGCAGGGCCGGAGTGACGGTGCCGTGTCTCCGTTAGTTAGGGCCGGTGTGACGGCGTCAGTGCCACGTCCCCCGGTGCTGTCGGTAGGACCTGCGCTACGTCCCCCGGTGCAGTCGGCATGGTCGTTGACTCGTCGTTGGCCGTGTCCTCCATCAGGGCCGGTGTGACGGTGCCGGTGCCGCGTTCCCCTGTGTCGTCGGTAGGGCCGGTGCCGTGTCTCCCGCTTTTGTAGTTAGCACTATATAGTGTCGCGTCTTCCGGATCGCCGATGCCGTGTCCTCCCCTAAGACCAGTGTGACTGGTGCTGCGTCCCGCGGTGTCGTCGGTAGGACCGATGCCGCGTTCCCAACTACTGTCGGTAGAACCGGTACTGCGTCCCCCGGTGCCGTTGGTACGGCCGTTCCCCGTGCCGTCGGTCAGGCCGGTGCCGTGTCCCCCGGCAGGGCCGGTGTGACCGGTGACGTGTCCTCCGTTAGGGCCGGTGTGGCCGGTGCCGCGTCCCCCCGGTGCTGTATGTAGGACCGGTGACGCGTCCCCGCTGCTGTAGTTAGGGCCGACTCCTCGTCCCCGGGTGCCGTCGGTAGGGCCGACTCCACATCCCCTGGTGCCGTCGGTATGGCCGTTGCTGCGTCCCCTGGTTGCGTCAATACGTCGGTGGGGTCGGTGCCGCTGTCGTCGGCTTACCGGAGATAGTAGGCAAATCCACGTATGTTCTCATTTATGTGCTTGAAAAATGCAATTTAAGCAAGAATGTCCGTACATACGTGTTTTGACCACGCGAGCGTTAACATCTTTAGATACCCAT